ATTCACATTTCGCGCTTAGGACCGGCGTTTTGCTTAGTCAGCATAGAACTGCCACAGCTACGAGGAGTGAAAATGCAATTTTCCACGATAAATCGATTGACTGGGTTCTTATTTGCAATCAATTATCGGCCTGTTTTGTTGCTGGCATGGGCGATTATCCTCGCGGATGCAAAGTTAAACTCATGACCTGTCTCGTAGGTGTGGGCAGCCCCTTGTGATAACACGTCACAACCCCAGGCCGAGAATTGATTTAAGTCTGGGCTTCGGAGGAGAAACCAATAGATCGGTTTATCGATCTGGCACCGGCATATATCTCCCTGCGCAGGCATCTCCAGACTGACGTCACAGGTGGTTGATTGGCTCCCACCCCTGGCTTGTTTTTCGTTGACGGTAAACTCCAGTAAGAGTTCGAAAGCTCAGACGAATTAAACTATGATTTCGGGGATCGACATGCCTTCTTCTTTTCCATCTATACACACACCTCGGATGCGAATACTCGCCTCAATTACATGTATCTCTTGCGTATTTAAACCACTGTCCTGTACAGTTAACCTCGTGAGGTAAACACACATATCGGTCGGCGACTTTCAGAATGCAGTTAAAACGGTCAATAAATTACTAGACAAATTTGCATATCCACAATTCGTCTTCCTACTGAGAGTCATTCAAAACCTCCATGAAGGGCCAAAGAAAATAAGCTTTCAGTTATTATTTTCGGGAAATCATTCACTTGAAAATAGTACAGCTTTTTAAATACAATTTGATTGTAATGGAATCAGTAGACTTCATTTAAAAATAACCCCAATTTACCTGGCCTGGCCAGTCCAGAACCCACTTTTCACGAGGAGTTGACATATAAGCAGTGACGCTGTCTCCAATAACTTTGCGTAAACTTTGAATCATCATGGCCTCCACTTGAAGCAGCCACTTTTCTACCATGCCCTGAAAAAGAAGAAGAAAGGGGTCCTTACTGAGGCAGAAACCAGAAAAGCTTCTCAGAAATAGAATCGAAGATAGAAGTCTGAGAGTATCGTTGAAAAAAAGGATTGAAGGAATCTGAGTGTGCCCTGTCATAGTTTATTTTCAACGGGAGTTTCTAGAATAAACGTAGGAGTATATAAAGACAGGGTAATGCACTACATACATGCCGTTTGCTGGGTGGTAAGCTAGTTATTGTGGTACGGAATGATGTCTAAATACTAGGCGCCCACAGCTTAACAGATAAGTGGGTTGGGTCCCATTACTCTTGACTTCAGTATAAACTATGATTGAATTAAGTTTACCGTCGCCGTACTTTAATAGAGATAGTGTTTGCAGGCAACCATTCTCAGCAATTCGGCAGGTTGGCAATCATTCCTAATGTCATTGTTGCCAGCGCCGAAATTATAACAGGGAGCTTGACATTTTCCAGTTCGTGAACGCGAAGTCAATTATTCAGGAACGAAATTAATAAGCTTTTACAGCTTTTTGAGTTGGAGACAACCAGCTTTGGCGCAAAACTGCATATAGACTGACACATCGATGGGTCAAAGACCACAGCTACTTAGCTTTTCAACTGTCACTAAATCGTTGTGATGATTTGCGCGAGGGATCGCTTAGCACACTCTCTTCCCACACATACCATGCTCAAATAAACTAAAAAAAGACTGAGGATGTCTGCGGTTGCAGTGACTAAAATGGCTTAACATATGCTTACATGTAACCCACACTGCATATAAACTAATCTCCGGGGAGGGTTCTGTTTGTCTTTCATCAAAGCACTTAAGTAGACAGGTTAAACTGAACGAAACTCGCATAGGGGCTTTTAGTCATGGATGAGACTAAGTCATTATATCTTTTGGCAATCTTGCAGTAGGTGGTTGTGTCGCCAACAGAAGCTCCCCCAAATCACAAGTCAGATAGGATAGAGTTGGTAGGAAGGGCATTATTGTGCGAAAGGAGCTTTGCAAAAGTCGACTGCAACCAATCAAATGAGGCGGGGCGTATTGATTGGCTTCGAGCGTGCTATCAAGCAGCGAGTCGACTGACAGCGTTAGTAAGGCCGATAGAGTGCGGAGTAAATTATTACGCTTGTGTGCAATCCTGGCAATCTGTATTAACTATTTCTAAAAAGACCACACAATTTCCGCTGTTGTGCATGTCTGTTTAAGTCTCCTGGTGGACTAGAGATAAGGTTGGGTGTATTGGTGAACATTTCCTGAGCTCCCGTGTAACACGTGCTAAACGTGTTAGATAGGATAATTTAGAGAGATCGCAAGCCTGGAACAGCCCGTCTGAAGTTATCCATGGGTCGGCAGGTCCACGCTCCAGTTAATCACTTTTTGGCGGCCATTTTTTGCATAATGTTCACAACTGCACACAAATGTGCCCAACCGGTCACAGACCTCGGTTTTAATCAGCTACAAGTTTGATTCTGCAACCTCCGTTCTCTAAATTCCCAAAGAACCAAAAATATTGGTCAAGCGACGACGAACCTTGGCCTTGGCTGGGTAGAGTTTGTTGGCGAAGGGGACAACTTCACCCTCAGAAGATATCATTCCCGTGATCTCCTGTTGTTCTGTGAGGACGAGACGACTGATACCCTCGAAGCACTTCTTTAGATGCGGCTGTACGCGAGAGGGATCCTTCGTCTCAGAGAGGATCTCCAGCAGTTCATCATTGGACAGGAAGAAGAACCTTGTGAAAAGGAGAACAAAACATATATATTTCATAAACAGTAAATCAGCTACTTTATTACCGAAGTAGTAATACGCATTATCCAAAAATTGCGAAACATTTACATCAGCGCAGTCCATCTGATACAAAATAAATGAAGGAATATGGCCAACACACATTCCTAAGCAATCATAGTCTTCCTTAATCGTTTTTGCAACTTAAGTCAGCAGTCAGTTTCGTTTTGATAACATTTACTATTGTAGCCTTTTATTTTCCCCAGACATTAATGTCCAACTTGGAGTAATTCAGTATATCTGAGGGTCCATAGACGAAGACCGAAACATTTGCGTATTCTTGTAAAAGGCCGACTTTACCATAGTAAAGTAACCAAGTACTAGAGCCAATCAGTGAACTAAACCGAATTAAGGAGACATCGAACT